ACTCGATTCGGTTTTGCTCTGCATATCGAGACGGATACAGCCCGCAAGGAGACAGGGAGGTAATTATCAGAGTAACCTAGACTAGAAAATCTAGTTTGGAAGGGAAGGACAAAACATAGTGCGGTGCCGAGAGTTTCCAGATGGATCATCTACATTAATCACATTTGCTGGGTAATCGCTGAGAAAAATACATCCCTCACAAACATTTGTAAATATTCCCAACCAAATGATCAGCAATAAAAGCGTTTGGTTGATTTAATAGCCCAAAATGAAATATGTAGCCCCATGTGAAAGAAACTATCCCCCCCACCCCAACTCCAAAACCTGGCCCAACTGAAGGACCCACCAGATTCAACATGGTGGAGAGGCCATCTTTTATTCTGGACATTTATTATATTAGATGTCCAGATGCTGATGCTGACAGTTTCATACACCAGATCTGTGTTTTACATTATTTCGTGGCCTTTCTGAAACATATTATGCTGCCCCCTGGCCTCTTCCCGGTTTCGTGCCGCTCTCTTGGCCACAGCAAGGATCATGCCCACAGCACCACCAACAGCAGGCGCTGGGACCCGGGCGTGGTTAAGATCTGTGGGGCCCCTTGTCCCTTCCAGAAAGTGGCTCGAGACCACTCGTGGTTTTAATTCCCCGGTCTCCAGCTTCTGCTGTCAGCAGGGATGTCACAACCCTTCAGTCGCACATCCTCAGTGGGACTCGAGGCTTCTCATTTATGTCACCTACATGAGCAGCTTAATTGCCTTTAAGATCATGCACTGACTGTGTGAGTTTTGTTTTGTTTTGTTTTGCTAACAGGCACCTACCATTCCTGGCTTCCGAGCAAGACCTATCATAATCTCGAAATCAAATGAGTGACATCCTCCCGGGATAATTCTTCCTCCTGGCCTCTGTGGGACTTCTGAAACCACCAGCTCTTTCCACCCAGACAAGAGCTTGTACCGAGTACTGTTTGCCTCTGATTGAAATCTCCACCCGGAAAAGATTCCACAACTTGATCCAGCAGTTCAGCCCATTAATGGCCAGCGTGACTTGTGAAGAGGTTCACCCCTACGTTGATTCCAAATTCCACCCCCTACCCTGTTTTCTAAGCCTGCCCTCGGGGGTGATGCTGAAGAAGGGCACGGTCCTCCCAAAGATGGGGAACCGGTATCACGATCCCCAGGTCACCTCTGCCTTCTCTAACTTCACATCCGAGGATCCTCACCTGATCCTTATAAGACCTACCCTCCTGGCCATCACCCCTTCCTTGCCCCCTCTCACACTAAGTTCACTGCTTGAAGCAAGAGCACTGTCATTGCCTGAGGGCTGGTTAGAAATCTAGGCTGCCCCAGATCCATGCATGTCAACAAGACCCCAGGGCGGTTCGTGTGCACAGTCAAGTTCTGGATCGTCTCCCATTTCCTCGATGCCTCTTTTAACAAAGAACACCCAGGAATGAACACTACATGCCAGGTGTGTTTTCATCAGGGCGGTAGACCTCAGGCCTCTCAGTGGACGGGACACTGGGTTGCCATAAAGACGGCCAGAGAGGGGCACCTGGGTGGCTCAGTTGGTTAAGCATCCGACTTCGGTTCGGGTCATGATCTCATGGTTCAGGAGTTCGAGCCCCAGGTAGGGCTCCTTGCTGATAGCACAGAGCCTGCTTGGGATTCTGTCTCTCCCTTTCTCTCTGACTCTCTCTCTGCATGTACGTGTGCATCTCTCTCTTCCAAAATAAATAAACTTAAAAAAAGAAAAAAAAAAAGACAGCCAAAGACTCCACTCAGTGTCCCTCTCTGATGCCCCTTCCTCAGAAAGCCTTCGCAGTGGATCAGAACATGTTACCTCAAATTATGCCACCTTGACATATTGATTCTCTTGAGCTGAAGACCCTTGAGAAACAGCAGGGGCAAGAAGTACTCTCTGACCTTCCCCTTTCTACTTAAAAGCAGGACACAAAGTCTCCGGTGAGGAAGGTGCCCTCCCTGCCCCAGGGCAGACCACTGTAAATCACCAGACGCTCTGGCCAGGCCAGAGAGGCGCTGAGAGAAGAGTCCGCATAGAAACCTTCTTAAACAACTCCTGTCTCCCGCTAGTTCTCCCACGATTTTACTTTCCATAACTTGCTGCTCCTAAAAGCCTAAAAACCCCTTTTCCTTTATCTTGGCACTTCTCTGAAGTCTCACTGTTCCTTTAAGATGCTTCTAAAAGCCCCTAATTCCAACTCGCCATTTGGGTTACTCATCACTGAATTTCTCCCACGTGTGAATGATGCACACATACCCTCTGTTTTTCTCGTTAATCTGTCTTTTGTCAACTTAATTCCCAGGGCCCTGCTAAAGAACCCAGGAGGGTGGAGGAAGAAAGGTTTTATTCCTCCCCTACGCCTCAGGGGGCGAGGTTTGGCGGAGGGCCCACCACAGCCCCAGTGCGCACATCTGAACTTGTCTCACCCACATCTCCATTTCTCTATATTCTGGTCCATCGAAACCCACGGCCCCGGGTCGTGTTCCTTCCTGGGCTGTGTTTTCAGCCGCCCTCCAACCGCCAAGGTGTTAGGGATGAATTTGCATGGCACGGTGCCATCTTGACTGCCGATCCGTCTGCATCCGTCCCCTCCTTTGCCAGCCACGCCAAGGTTCCCCGATTTGAATCCAGGTGGTCCATGTTATTTACATAAGCAGCCATAAACCATCTGGATGGTCTCAAAGATTCAAGAGAAATCCTTCTTTTTCCGAACAATGAACAGCCTCCTCCCCTTCAAAATGGTACCTCCATTTAAATGTGATCTTGTAATGTTCACCTCCGAACAGAAGGTGGCAGCAGAGTACAGATGGTAAACAGAAAGTAGCTGCCGTAAGAAAAACTGAGGGGGGGAAGCCTACTTAGCTTCTTCTTGATCCTTCAGGGTCCTTCTGGCCTCTTCCCTCCAAGGTTCCATCTTCGACTGGCTATGTGGACTTAGATAATCTTAAAAACCAATTCACACTGAAATACCAATGCCTAAAATCAATTTACGTGTCAACAGCAAAAGATACCGTAATACAAAAGAGTGACTGAAAACGTTAGTGAAAACAAAGTCTTTCCTGGGAACTGTCATATGACAGGCCAATGATAGGCCTTCATCCTAGTTCTTTTCTACTTAATTAACATCTGATACGCATCCCACAATTGTCTGGATGCCTACTTTGTGCCAGGTACTGTTCTAGGAACTCAGAATAGGGAACGAAACAGATAAAGTCCTCGCTCTCATAAAGCCTTCTTTCTACTAATAAATAATGTTCAAATGAATATGTGATACGTGTTATGATATGTGTGATATGTGAAATGATACGTGTTATGAAAAAGAAAAAGTGAACTAAAGGCTGTGTTGTGCAGTGTCGTTTCTACTAACCACGTGTGGCTATTTTTAAACAAGATTTAAAGCTCAGTTCTTCAGACACCCAAGGTCCATTTCAAGTGCCCATGCAGTACTGGCTACTGTACCGGGCAGTGCAGGGATAAGACATTTCCATCATCACAGAAAGTTCTACTGGACAGTGCTAGAACTGACAGTGACGGGGGCCGGTATTTTAAATAGGAGAGTTAAGGCAGAACTCACTGAGAAAGGGACGTCTGAAAAAAGTCAAGCATGAGCCATAATCCGAGGAGAAAGCTTTTTGGGTGGAGGAAACAGCAAACGCAAAGGTCCAGGGGCATGCTTGGCCTGAAGGAGGGACAGCAAGCAGGGGCAGAAGCAGAGTGAGTAAAGGCGTCAGTGTTCGGAGTGGAGCTTTAAGAGGACGCCAGAGGCCATATCGTGCAAGACCTTGGAGGCCACAGAAATGAACTTGGCTTTTATTCTGAGTGTAACCGAAAGCCAGTGATGGCCCTAAGCAGAGGCGTTACAGGGTCCGATTAACATTTGGAGAAGATCACTCAGGCTCCTTGAGGAAGGTGGCCTTTAGAGGAAGAAGGAGGACCAGCAAGGAGGCTACTGCAATAGTCCCAGCAGGAGATGACGGTGGCTTGGTCTCGGGTGGTAGAGGGGAGGTGGGGAGAAATGTCCCACCTAAGGGCGGAGAGAAGACTTGAACGGGGAGGGTGGGGAAAGGGGCTCCAGGGCGACTCTGGGGTTCCTGCCGTGAGCAGCTGGGTGGGTGGAGGCCCCATCTTTGTGACAGAAAAGGGTGGTTTCGGCACAGTAGGGGGTGAGTGCCTGGCTGGAGTTCAGGACAGCATGGAACGTGGAAAACTACAAATGGTGAGTACAGACACGTTTCAGGGTGTGTGTGTGTGTGTGTAGTTCATAAAGTGGGGTAATAGCTGAAGGGGGATGTGGAGAAGACAAGGTTTCGTTTTCTTAAGTTGGGAGAATATTACGTATGTTTTTGTGATGACGGAGCCAGCCTCTGGGTTAGAGAAGTCCAGAGAGAAGCAGGTTCCGGGTGAAACCCAGCTTTTGACATCCTGGGAGCCAGACGCCCATCACATCAGACAACCAGGTGGTGACCTGAAGTAAGCGGCTAAATGGGAGCCCACCCCGTGTGACCCAGGAAACATCTCTGGCTCACCAGCCACTCCTCCACCAGCGGGGCGGGCCACATCTGAACCAGACACTGGACCACACCCCAGGTTCCGCGGCCAGACGCTCTCAGCTGGGGGACCTCCCGCAAGCCCCTCAGCCTAGTGTAGCCTCAGTTTCCCCACGTGTACATGCAAGTAACGAAGCCTTCCTCAGAGTTGACCTGAGAATTCTGTGAAACTGCAAGATGCAGAGAGCAGCGAGCAATGTGTTACAATCACGTGACAGGAAAGTTCTGATGGGGTGTGGGTTCCTGGGGGGGGTGGGGGGAGCACAGAGCGAAGAGTCAACATCACAGCGTAACAAGTACAGGCAGAGGGGTCCTCCACCACCACTGCCCCAGAGATACCTGACTGTCTGGAAACATCTTTGCCTGTCACAACTCGGGGGGATGCTATTGGCCTCTGGCGGGCGGATGCCAGGAGGCTGCCAAACCTACGATGCCCAGGACGGGCCCCCACAGCACAGTCATCCTGCCCAAACGCAGGCACAGCGGCACAGTTGAGAATCCTGGTGGAGAACGACAGAAACAGGGCCGTAAGCATCAGGTTCAGACTAGAGTAATGACGCCCTGGCAGAGGACACGACGGAGGTAACCAGCAGGATATTTTCAAACAAATGCCCGGACTAGCGTGTGATTTCCACACTCTGCTGTCTCTTCGTATGGAAACACGAAGACTGTGCTCCTCCCCACCAGCTTCTCGGTCTCCCTGATACCAGAACCCACCCAGCTCCTCGACTCTCAAGGAGCAAAGTCCACACTCAGGCATAGAACTCTCCAAGGAAATCATTCAATCCAAAGTCAAGCAACGGAACCGTCGAAGGTCTTGCAAAGATGCGAGAGGCTGCACGCATCTTGCGGAAGAGCTCAGAACTAGGACTGAAACTACCTGGGTCTCGGTTTTAGCTCTGCTGCCGCCAGAAGGGCCAGATGGCCTCCACCTTGCCTTTTGCTGAGCCCGTCTAAACGAAAGCAGGCTGAGAGGAACTTTTGGAAAGCGTTTGAGAGACGCCTTGTCCCACAGGAGGAGGAGGCCCAACTTTCCGTGAAGTTGGGAGCCTCCCAAGAGATCCAGAGAAATTACCCATGAAGTTTGGGTGATTCTAGAAACAGAGGTCTGGCGGGCACGTCTTATCTACGGCTTCCTGAAGGGTACAGTCTCCCAGATTTGCCCTACAACCAGCAGTCCCCGAGACCTCCTAAAAGGACTCAGAATCATCCCTATAATCCCACAATAGAGATGGAGAAAAGAGTGAGGGAGGCCACCCCCAAAATGGCCCTGAGCCAGCCCCATGCTGAGCGGCGGAGGGACCCAGAGGGGCCCACGTGGGTGGTGCCCCCTCCCCCACCCACTCCAGGAGCACACTGTCTTCAGTGACCTCAAGAAACAGCTGGCAGATGGTTTCTGCGTCCCCACCCAAACCCTCCAAACAGGGAAGGGTACCTAAGGGCCTGGCCACTGGGCAGAGTCCCCAAGAAAAAGCACAAGTGAACATCTCCAAAGTGTCCTAGGCTAGCAAAATGGGCGTTTTGAAAGTTTCTCATGCCTCATTCACTGCACCTGGTCGGGGGGCCGAGGTGAGGCTAAAACACAGGTCACGGCGTAAGCAACAGGGTGGAAACGTGTAGTGGCCAAAGAACCATACTCCCCGCAGGGCCATGTGACACGGAAACACAGACAGCCCTTCCCTAACTGGCTGGCACAGGAGGATACACAGGCCGGGAGGGCCTGCTGGCTGGGTCACCTCCTCCCTAGCTGTCCTGCCGGCTCTAGAAGACACAGAAGTCTGCAGAGGCAACGCACTGTGTGTGCACCCCATCTCCAGGCACAGCCTGTTCCCAGGCCCACTCTGAGCTGTAGGGCGGCCACGGCTCGTGCCCCCCCC